CTACAATGAGGAAGACTTGGCATTGGCATAGGACCACACTGAGTAAGGCATAAGACCACACTGAGTAAGACCTGGCACATGCATAGAACCACACTGAGTAAAACCAGGCACAAAGTTAGTGAAACAGTAAAGAAGACCTGCTACAGGTGTAAAATACTTTAGAAGGACTTGACACAGATGTAGAGATCTGTAAAGAAGACAATAATCTACCAACAACCCCTCCAACTCTATTATAACATGAAATAAACATTCTAATACAGCATGAAAATATTCCTCTGGCGTGAAAATGAACAAATTTTCCTCAAAGTCTTTTCCAATTTACTTTGTTCTTAAACTTTCTCAATACTTTGAGAATTGAAGAGGAGGGGAGAAAAAAATATCCTTCCAGACTTTATGTTATCATGTCTGTGCTAACTCAAGTCTAAAAACATAACATCAAAATATCTAATTGCTGTAAATGAACTATGCCATTTTATCAAGTGGTAATTTCCCATTGGTATGACACCCTCTCTTACTTTCCTTTATTGAAGGTTTTCTTATAGAATCAATTCACTTTGCTGCGTTTGACACCAACATTGAAAAGGTCATATGGCCACTTTTGTAGCTTTACTGGTTAAGAGGACCTCAGGTGCTGGGCCTTGCATTATTTCAGGCATGAGTAAAACCACTGACCTTCCATAAGCTAGCAGGATAGCTTCCTCACACAGGGTTTGAACTCAGACTGATCTGGGCTCTACTTTTTTTTTTTTTTTTTTGGACAAGTGCTGGAAAGGGCCATTTTCCATTGTGGGGGGAGAGGGGGGAGGGGGGGGGGAGAGAGTGGGAGGGGGGGGGAGGGAAGAAAGATAATGGGTGGAAGATGCATGTTAACAATCTTATTTAATTATCTTACAGTCTTCCGTTTCAATTTTTGCATTTTCAAAGATGAAATCCCTTGCAAATTACAATAATCAACTCCTATTACAAATCTGGGCTAGTCTATTATATAAGAGCTTGTGGGGTAAAAGTAAATTAAAAGTGAAAATTGATTGTTCACCTGAGAATGAGCAAAGGTGAGATATCGAATAAAGCTTCAAACACAAATGCTAAGCTTTGAGTCAAACTGTCTGGGATTACAGACTGCATTTTTTCTCTCTCTCGGTTTCAATTCTTTGTCTATGTTTACAATAGACCTAAATTAAACACTGCATACCTTTGATACAAATCAATAACAACTCAAAGATCAATCAATATCAAAGCAAAAAATCTGCATTTTCAGTGCACGCTTTACAACGTACACAACAAAAACACTTGCAAAATTCAAAAACTCAGCTTTTCATTTTTCTTCAATTAAAGGGAGATTACTATCGCATACCTGACAAGCAGACTGGCACTCAAATACTGCATAAATTTCAATCACCAGATTTTATCTCGACAGGTTAATTATCTGTAAACCAGTCTCATTTTAATAATCATTATACAATTCTAACTAAAAAGATCTAACATTACGCATTCATAAAATCTGCTCATGTGTTAAATGTATTTTGCGAGGAAAGGGTACTGCTGGTTAATACGTGACTTTCATATCCCCCTCTGTTATAATGGTTAGGCGTATACAATTAACCGAATGCATTTTCTGCAAAACATTAAATAAACACTAGCGAATAACTGCTTTTAAATTGATCAAAATATGAACTGTAAATTGCCTTCAAAGTTCTAAATGCTCGAAATAAAAACCTCTTTATCTTTTATAATGGTTCTACCAGACTTCTGTATTGCTAAATGACTTAACAATTACTCAACAAAAGATTAGTGTTCAGTTGCTTAGTGGAAAAACTAACATCTCATTTAGGGACTGAATATGTTTTGTTTGTTTTGTTGGGTTGTCAGTCCGCCCGACACTGTAAGCATCATATGATGTGACTTTCAACGTTCAGTGCTCGGAAAATACGTTTCTGTGCATTATTTCAGCTTAGATGAACAACCAATCTTTTGTAAGATAGCTGGATAGTTTCCTCGCATGAAAGAATGAAACGTCCCTTACGGGATTCAAACCAGGAGAGGTGAGGAAGTCAGCTTAAGTCAAACCTTAACCAATTGGCCAGGAAACTCTTAGGATAAGTTTTTAGGCAATAGACCTTTTTCTATCTTAATCTATGCATCAAACTTGTCTTGGATTTTGGACCGTTAATTGTTACTTTAAAGGATTTTAATATAAAAATACACAAAGTGAGTGACATAAGTCTGTTCAGATTTCAGGACGGTATGGGCTCGCCTGGATTTATACTCATGACCTAGCTATGTTACAATCTACAATAATAACAGGTTTATAATGGATGGGTACATGCTGCATCATCTAAGATTCAAACCAGCACAAATAAATACACATCACTGTAACAATTCAATCTGACTGTACGAATGTTTCTAAAACCATCATTAAAACGTCTTCGAAAAAAAAAAATCTCTGTGTATCAGAGAAGAAAATAAAAATACACATCAATACGTGAAGCTCATATTTCAAAACTGTTTTCACAAAGTTTGCTATATCCCTGCTAACAAGTCGATTTTCTAAAGCTCATTCTTTCATCGGCACAAAGATAAACAAGAAATCTCCCCGTCAGTTGTGAGCCACTAAACATATTATATGGTCTCATTTGTAAATTAGTAGCCTTTAAAAGAGGCAGTAAATATAAATTCAACTGAATATCAAATACACTCAAAGGGTTTTATTACATTTTTTTTTAAATTACTTTAATAGCGGCTTCAAATACCTGAATAATACCTGGTTGTAAGTCGGGTAAAATTAAATGGGTTTTAAAATTTGCATTGAATATGTAGATATTTTACAAATTTTCCAATACTTTTTTTTTTTGAAAGCTCAAATAAAATGCATGTTTGATTATTTAGGTATGGTATGCGTTATCACAAAATAACAAGTTTAAAACTGATAAAATATAGCGCAATCATTGAGAGCCTCTACATGTCAAATGAAAACCTTTCAGTACAAACCATTACAATAAAACCTGTCAGAAAAGACCACTCTTGCAGAAAGACCACACACTGATGGGACATTAGATCAATGGTTTTATGAGACATCATGTGATAATTCCCCCCACAGATCTCCTTATATTGACCTTTATATGCAGGTGTGATAATTTAAAAATCTTCTTATTTTGGCTTTTATATGCAGGCATAAATTTTTTTCCAAACTCCTAATATTGGCCTTTATATGCAGGTGTGATAATTTTCCAATCTCCTAATATTGGCCTTTATGGCAGGTTTGATCAATTTTCCAATCTCTTGCTAACGGCCTTTATGTACAGTGTGATAATTTTCCAATCTCCTAATATTGGCCTTTATGTGCAAGTTTGATCAATTTTTCCATCTCTTAATATTGGCCTTTATATGCAGGTGTGATAATTTTCCCATCTCTTAATATTGGCCTTTATATGCAGGTGTGATAATTTTCCCATCTCTTAATATTGGCCTTTATATGCAGGTGTGATAATTTTCCAATCTCTTAATATTGGCCTTTATATGCAGGTGTGATAATTTTCCAATCTCTTAATATTGGCCTTTATATGCAGGTGTGATAATTTTCCAAACTCCTAATATTAGCCTTGATATGCAGGTGTGATAATTTTCCAAACTCCTAATTTGGCTTTATATGCAGGTACGATAATTTTTCAATCTCTTGCTAATGGCCTTTATGTACAGTGTGATATTTTCTTATCACCTGATATTGGCCTTTATATAGAAACTTTACCGTTTACTATACAATATTCTATGATGGCCTTCTTTTTAGACAAATTAAAACCCATGAAAAGCTATAAAATAACATTATCATTTAATTTCTTTTTATACTAATAAAACATACTTCTAAGCAAAATAAAATTTTCCCTTCAAAGACTTCAAGATTTCAAACGGTTTTAGAATTTTCTCACACTTTTAATCTATCTCCCATTTCCATTTCAGTCAAAGGAATATTATTCCATCATACATAATGAATTTCTCCGCCATTATTAAGACGATCAAAGTTGTACACATTCAAACCCATATAAAATTGCCACTTTATTTCACTTTATTTCCGATCCAAGCATCAAATTGGGATTCAAATCTTATTTTTCTTCTTTTTCTTTCTTCAAAAAGGCTTGAAACACATCGTATACGGAATCAATTTAAAGCTTGCAGTATAATCTAAGTAATGAAATGTAAATTGTGTTGTATTTTCTTCAACATCTTTGGAGGTCTCAAGGAGAATTTGACATAACAAAATGTATGTTTGAAATTCAAATTGATTTCAGTAAATATGCTGACTATTTAAATTGCATACAAAGTATCAAAAGAAGAAGATACATTATAAACCCTGACCACACTAAATTTCTGAAATGGACTAGTCTGCTATTCAATCTGGACAGTACCATTTATCAGTTTAAGGGACAATTTTCAAAATATGTATAGACAGATTAGCAAACATTGCAGTCAAACCAGGTTATTATACTGTAGGTAGCTATATTTTTTGTATTTTAGTATTGTAATCCCTTAAACTTCTAATGGACTGGTCCAAATTAAGTGCAGGGCAAATCTATTTCAAATATTCAGCTGGTTTAGGGTTAATGACTGTTATAACTATATACAACGTTATGCATACAGTCACTATTGTTGAGACAAATGTACTTTACCAGTATATAAAAATATATCGGAAGTTCCTTGCTTGCTTAACATTAGCAACAACAAATTGGGTAAATAACAGATAGGCAATTTATTTTTGTTTAAAATTCCGGAGCTCCTGGCCCGAGCCCCAAATTTCCTGCCTTGATTTAATAAAAAATGGCCACTTTATTTCAGTTTTTGGTGTCTTTATTTCAGTTTTTAACTTGTTTTTGGCAATTTAATTTCAGTTTTTAACTTGTTTTTGGCCACTTTATTTCAGTTTTTTACATGCTCCATGAGCACACACTGGTGTGAAATACATTCTACCTCTATTTCGTCATGTTAACCTACAATTTTCCATCACTTACCGTTTCCTTATGAGACAACAACTCCTTCCTGATCTTGAAGAAATTCTTCCCGTACACTCTCAGGCCCTTCACAAAACGTTTCTGTAAAATACAATATTTATACATATACAGAAATGATAATACATGGAGGAGATATTTTCCTCACATAAAATACACACAGTATAGTCATCAAGGGAGAACTGTTACAAGCCATGTTTCTATTAACTTACGAAAATCATCGTCCCAAAACGCTCTTTTAAAGGTTTGCGTATAAAGGTTATTGCCAAAATGCATTACATTATATATCCATCTCCTATTTTTCTTCACAGAGTTCAATCAATCAAGATCACAACTTCTCTGAATCATTTTTGCATTTAAAATGACTTCGGAACAACTTCTCAACATTGTATTAAAGGAGGGAAAAAAAAAAACAACATGTGGACCATTTCATTCTTCAGTGTTATATGAAAGATTCAGGATATGAGCGTCTTCTTGCCTAAACCTTGGAGCAGCTGAATTTCATTAATGGTCCAGCTCTTATGTTCGGTCTTGGAACATTCCATTATCAATCTTAGGGGATTATCAAGACTAAGTATTCAACAACTGAACTCAAGTCTAGACAGCCTGTATGGCTTATTTGGCTTTATATGGGTGGTAAAGTCTGGGTTGCGTTTCATTGAAGATCCTAAGTCTAAAATACATTGTATGTCTTAATACCAAAACTGAGACATTTTCATTTCAAAGTAAATAATAAGATATAAGTAACAGAAATCACGACCACTCGGAGGTTCCTCAAATTGCCATGTTATATGTATTTGCCTATCTAGGAGAAATGATATCAGTGATAAAACTTAAGCCTGATGCCGTGAAATGAAAATGAAAATAAAAAACCTCTTGAAATTTCAAACTTTTAAGATAAACTGTACAAACAATTGACTCCTGTCTGTATGTAAGATCTTTTCTGATTGCTTTTGCAATTCAAAACACTTTTTTTCTCCCCTAAGACAAATTTTTTTACACTACAAAATGAATAATTCACACAAACAAAAAATCTCCCCGAACACTTAAAACTTGTTTTCTAAAGGAGAGGAACACATATTTCCTGCTTGCAGGGAATATCGCTATACTGATAGGACATTTAATTTTTTGTTTCGAGAAATAATTACATGTGATGTGTATGCCACCATTATATCTCCGCCAATTCTAACAAATGGCATTAGGACTATTTTTATGGTTAAGTATCAATTAAACCCCAATAACCTGTCAAAAGTTAAACCCCAAAACTCCGCGTTTCCATGGAAACAAAATTATCAGTTGCTGCAACTAACATAAAATCTACTTCATAAAAGCTAATTTCGCGATCAAAAGAGCTTCATGCTGCAATAAAGTAGAGGGGGAAAGTTGATCGTGGGTATAAAACACAAGTTATTGACTACCTTAGGGCTGTCGTTTTTCTCCTAGCAAATATTCCGCGCAATTATGTAAATGAGACTGACGAGGGAAAAAATGAGTGGCTTCTTATGTTTTGTGTTTGAAGAGTTATTTCCCTTCATTGCTGGAAACAAAAATTGCAGTTTCCTCCCTTTATATGATAATCATTTCATATATTCAATAAAATTCAAGTTTTAGGAAAAACACTTTAAAAACAATGATGAATTGATGATATTTTGCTAAATATATTTATTTTTCTATCAACTGGTAACGCAACACTGATAATGACCCCACTTATAAGATTTTAGGAGTTTATCGCCAAAAAAAACCCAGACTTAACTGTTTTATTAACTATTCTTATGAAGCATGGGTAAAACAGCCACGAAAACTCTGTATCACCATACATAAAACCTGTATTATGAAAAAACAAGAGGGCCATGATGGCCCTGAGGTCGCTCACCTGTATATAGGCCCCCGGAGCGGGGCCAGTTTAAACCCCAGGGCTTTTATTTGAACAAACTTAGAAGACACCCATTAGAAGATGTTTCATGATGTTTAGTTTTTACTACACACATATAATGTAAAACAATGACCAGCCCCCCCCCTCCCCCGCCAGGGCCAATTTTAACCCAAGGGCTTTTATTTGAACAAACTTGGTAAACAACCATAAGAAGATGTTTCATGCTAAATATCTAAGCTCTAGCTCACTGGATTTTTTAAAAGAAGATTTTTATGTTTTTACTATACAAATATAGTTAAAAACATTGACATCCCAGGGGCGGGGACAGTTTTGACCCAAGGGCTTTTATTTGAACAAACTTGATAGACACTCACTAGAAGATGTTTCATGCTTAATATCTAAACTCTAGCTATTTGGGTTTTTTCATAGAAGATTTTTGAAGTTTTTGCTGTACATATAAGGAAAATCAATGACCCCCGGGACGGGGCCAATTTTGACCCCAGGGAATTTATTTGAACAAACTTGGTAGACACCCATTAGAACATGTTTCATGCTAAATATCTTAGCTCTAGCTCTTTGAGTTCGTTAAAAGAAGATTTTTTAAGTTTTTACTATATGCATATAGGGAAAATCAATAACCCCCTGGGGCGGGGCCAATTTTGACTCCAGGGCTTTTATTTGAACAAACTTGGTAGACACTCATTAGAAGATGTTTCATGCTAAATATCTTAGCTCTAGCTCTTTGGGTTCTTTAAAAGAAGATTTTTTAAGTTTTTACTATATGTATATAGGGAAAATCAATGACCCCCTGGGGCGGGGCCAATTTTGATCCCAGGGCTTTTATTTGAACAAACTTGGTAGACACTCACTAGAATATGCTTCATGCCAAATATCTAAGCTCTAGCTCTCAGGGTTTTTTAAAAGAAGATATTTAAAGTTTTTTCTTTCCGTTGCCATGGCAACCAGAGTTCTGCATGGAATTAAATTCTTTGAACAATTTTTAAAGGTGACCACCAAAGGAACATTCCTGTGAAGTTTGGATGAAATTGGCTTAGTGGTTTATGAGGAGATGTCATTTAAAGTAAAAGTTTACGGACGGACGGCCGGACGCCGGACGAAAAGCGATCACAAAAGCTCACCCTGTCACTTTGTGACAGGTGAGCTAAAAACAACCTCTATATAAAGTCCAAATAATGAAAACCTGTTGCAAATGTGAAGGATTTGATTTTTTTTCTAATCCATTCCGTAAACTTGCCTCTATACAAATCAAAACAAAAACAACAAACAAACACATAAGAAAATTTGTCAAAACAACACCCACATCATTTTGATCAATATTACAGCTTAGGGAATCAGGTATCGTATTTCGGCCATTACATCCCCTCATTGATTTCACTACGATTTTTTTGCTCATTTCCTGAGCTTAGAAAACTGTACTCGACAGAAAGCCAACAAAAAACGAGTAACTCTTGTGAGGCGTTATATCGGATAAAGCTATAATATCCTGCAATGTGAATAAATAACGACTTGTAACGATGTTTTATTGTTATCAATTCATGGACCAATCAATATCTCTAGTAAAAGACACGTTCCCTGTATTTACTGTAAAGGGGGGCAATTAAAGACGTCGTTATAATCGACAGGGCATTGACCGCTTCTCTTCATGCATTTCAAAATTAAATGTACTTGTTTTCTTTAAGAAAAAGCTATAGTTCAAGCCAGTTAGAATCGTACCAAAGGGGAAATTTGCTTAAGAATATTACTAACAACCAAATACCAATAATATTTGATACCATTACACCTATTCCATTACTATGCCCCCTATTCTATTACACCTATTCCATTACTATTTACAACAATTCCATTACTATTACACCTATTCCATTACTATGCTCCCTATTCCATTACTATTACACCTATTCCATTACTATTACAGATTGCCTCTTCATGGGATCCAACAGTAACCAGTGGGACCTAAATCTAAGATTATTTATGACAATTTCAACCTTAATTCTAACTCAATGATTGGTTAAATGAATTATTAAACCTAAATTTAAGCTCTTTGATTGACCGAAAAACTTGTTTGACCTATATCTTAGATCAGATTTGTGTTTGTACACTTGACCCTTGACCTTTTTTAGTATAAATATCATTAACTTACAGTATCTTCTTCGTTCCATTTTTTATCTATGGTACGGAGTGCTGGGGCTTTAACCAGTGCTTGTAGGGCCTTGCCAGTGTCATATTCATACTTGTGTAGCTGAAAGAAGAAACACACCATCATGAATCAAATAAATCTTCATATAAAATATTGAAAAAGTAACAAAATTGTTTGCTTGTTTTACTGGTTTTCAAGCTGATTTGACACAATTTCTAGTCACATCTCAGTGACAGATACAGCTATCCGGTTTTCCTGAATAACAAATTTCTCCACAAGTGACCAGTTTTCCTGGATAACTAACCAGTGATTACCAATTTCTCTGTAGATTTACTTTAATACAAATTAAGTGAAAAGATAAGACAGTTTATTTCCATTAAAAGTTTCTCTTTTAACCCTTACTATACTAAATATTGCAAAAGAAGTTTTGACTGGACAGCAAACAGTGCAGACCATGATCAGACGGCTCATATGTATTGGTCTGCACTGGTGGCATGGGTAGTTTCAGTTAATGCCAGAAAGCTTAGAGTTAGTGTTTGTAAGTCATATATTTACACATAAAACCAATTAATTACACAAGAAATTTTGAATGTAAAATCTATCAATTCTGCAAAAAACTTTAATATCAATAACAATAAGGTAACACATTAAGAATAAACAACAGCAATCATATATATCTTATAACTGCATGATAATTATACAATTAGAAAATTGTGTTAAAAATGAGAGATACCATGTGCATGGCGTTCATCGTTGTGTCATCCATCTGTGCAGCCTGACATCCATCTTCCGTTGACCCGCCGTCACACATGCCGGCAAATGCTGCAACGCTCCTGTGGCGAGGAAAATTACATAACCTATTATTTATTCATACTTTATGAAACAAAACGTTCGTAAATTAAAGCGAGATATGACAGATAATGTTAACCTAACATAATTAACAAAAACTCATGTTTCTTGTCATGTTTGTTTTACAAATTATTGTTTTTCGTGTAAAATCTAGAGACGAAAAAGTTAATGAAGTAATTATCTCACAATTATGATACTTTATTCTTTATTTTGAAAATAATAGCTTTTTTTTTTGCAGAATAAGAAAATTTTCGTTTTCTTTAAGTTAAATAAGCAATGAGTATTACTTAGTTACCAGGCAACCCATTGCCCTAGAATTTCAGACTTTCGACCTTGACTATATGTAAACTGGACAGAAGTCACAAAATAAAATTTTACAAATTTTGTCTACTGTTGAGAAACTAGCTGCAATCTCCAATTTAAACATAATTTTGCCATTTATGAAGCATATAAATATTGAAATAAATAACTTGCAACTATAGAAACATAATAATAATACCTTGCAGCCCTAAGGTACATCATAAGGTCCCCATCAAGAACTCCTTTTGGCTGCCAGTGGAATGTTTCCAGGGCATCACTGCGTTCTGGCATCTCATTGGGTGGGACATTGGGCTTGCATTCAGGCATTCGAGCCTGAAATCAGAACATAGGTCATGTAACTTAATAGGCAATCCCTATATTTCACATGGAAGAACCTATAGGGGTCTCAATCACATTTCCTTCTATAGCACACAAGAACTGGTTAGTTTCAAACATGAAAGTGTTTACAATGACCTTGCTGGCACAACAAATGCAATGCTTTTTTCCAGAATTTGAATAAATATCATGTATATGTTTAAGCAAAACTTACTGAACTTGTGAATAATTTTTCCAAAACCTTAATGAAAACATAACCTTTGTATAAAATTCATTTTGTTTTTGGATTAATCAAGTAATTAAATCAGTATGGTTTTCCAACATTTCTAACATAACATTATTACATAATAACATCATTATTTTTATGTTTTCCATTTATAACAGATTAGCAACGGATTTGCGTTATAACTAGGACTTGCATAAAATGTAAACGTTTGTAAGTCTATCATGCTGGGTACCATTCCAACATGCTGGGTGCCAATCCAACATGCCAGGGGACCAGTAAGATATAAATTCACCTATGTAATTAACAGTGGTAACAACAGGTATTACATGGCAATTAAAACTTAATTAACTCAAATACCAGGTGCAGGGAGCATTATCCCTGCTATACAAGTTTTACAGCTTTATGAGTGTAAGTTACATACTATAATTGTATCTTGTAGCAATAAAGCAGACATTAAATTGTCCCCCCTTACTGTGAAACAGATATGCAAATTCAAAACTTTTATGATAAGATCTACCTTGGGACTTTTTAATTTGCTTTTATGGCTCCTAATTTTTGAAATAAGAGCTCTTTTAAACAGAAATACTGCCATAATATTCAAAATACAAGTTCCCCAGTCCAATTAAAATCAAAATGCAAGCCCCAAAGTCCAATTAAAATCAAAATGCAAGCCCCAAAGTCCAATTAAAATCAAAATGCAACCCTCAAAGTCGATTTAAGAGCAAATGCTAAGTCTAATCAATCCCCTAATTTGCATAATATTTCAGGTTATAATAAGAGGCCTACTTTGTTTTAAATTCAAAATAGTTGTGATAAGACAAGCAAGTTTCCTTTTTACCCTTACCACGCTGAATATCTTAAATGGACTTTTAATTTGGACAAATCTATTTCTCTTTTTTAGGGAAAATTTCATAACAGGCACCGACTGAATAGCAAACACAGTGCAGACAATGATCAGACAGCAAAGTCATATGACTGGTAGAATCTCTATTGCCAACAGCACTGTAAGTATTAAGCTTAGGAAAAATACCCCCCCCCCCCGCTGACAATCCCATAAAAACTGCCCCTCACCCCAGTTCAGTTTCTAAGCCACACTGGCACACAACTTAACTGTTAAGAGCATAGTTTATTCAACATTATGACCTTAAAATACAGTAAATGTGGTACAACTAAAAAAGCAACCACCCCAGAGATAATTCATCATAGTCTACCATTCAAATACCGCAAGCGAAAATTGTTGCAGCTCCATTGCGTTTTTTAATAATGCATATTATCTCCCGTAATTATGTATATTACTAGTAATGCTTCTATTCTAATGTACGAAATATATTTCATATATCATCCGATACCCATATATATCATCAAAGTTTTATTTCTTCGTCAAAAAGATAAACATAATTTTAAATAATCTAATGGTATTTCTGCACATAAATATTTAACCGAAACTTATAAATTAAACTATATGTTCATAGAAATGTTTAAATATTAACAGCGGAAAAAAGTTTAATACTTTACGGATCGTTGCAATCACTTAAATTATCATCTGACAAAACTATGACGTGCCGTTTGTTGCGTGACAAATGCTAATTAGTGTCCCGGCAGGATTCAATACCCTGGTACTTAGGTTGAACAACGAAATACGATCATTTAAACTTCGCCTTTGTTGAAATTATTAAAGTATGACAGAGGCATATCACAAAACATCGAGGTCACCTTGGGTCAAAGGGAGATAATACACATGAATAAGACGTTGAAAAATTACTCTGTTACGAGTGTCTATTTCTCGTCATTGAACAAAGACGGTACTTAGATATAATTACACGCGGGTTATAGGCCACAATGATTTACGACACCTTCCATAATTTAATGACACAAATTGGCCCACTTTGTCTTTTCAATCAACAAATGCCGATTTTGATTTTTTCTTAAGATAGAGACCGCCACAGGATTAGGGCGTAGTTTATGGGAGTTTATACATACAAAGTACGAGTGAAACTCTAAATTATGAATACTTAAACATCTTAAAAGATCCGATAGTCATCTATGCACGTAATGTGTTTTATTCGCGTAATATAATCCCCACACATCGTAAATGCGTTTATTTTTCTGCTTAACAAAAAAACAGAACCGAATATTTTATGAGCAAATTATCTTTGCATTAAAATTTCTTAAGCATTTTATATGATAAAGCACTACAGTTAAGAAAGTAAATATTTATCTAATGTGCCGATATTTTTGTTGTACAAACACTTAAATTTATAAAATACAATTCTTTTTCAATGCTCTTTGGCTTGTAATATTATATCGAAACCACTTTATTTAATCTTATGCTATTCATTTCTGAAAGAATTGCGAATTAAAAAGAAAAAGCTTGTGTCATTCTCTATAAATTAAAATGTGAGAATAAGCTTCAAACATAAATTTAACAATCCTTTCAAAATACTGTACCTCATCAGGAACCTAGGTTTTGAGTTTTCATTCAAACATACCCCATTATTATATAAAAACTTCACAGTCTTGAGTGCTGCAGGAGTAAACAAAGTGGTGCAAGATCTGTTGGCAGGGAGGAGATATTGATCTGAAACATTAACCTTAATGGCACTACCACTAAATTTCGTGCCCCCTCCCCCACTCAAAAGAACTTTTTGTGAATAAATGTTATCAAACCATTTAAGTAATTGAACAAAGAAATGTGGTGCTCTTCTAAAACGATTTTTTTAGTGCAAACACTATACTACATTATACAATGCTAGTAAAATTTAATATGCCATAACAATGTCTAGAAATATTCAACATTAAAACTACACGTACCTGATACATAGACCCGACCCGGATCTGGCCTTGTGTGGTAGCCAGCCTCTTGGTTTCTGGATTATAACCAAGAATACAATAGAACGTGTCAGCGGCCGGCTTGAATGACCGCGCCGCTTCAAGACTGTTACAGTGTACAACTCGGCACTTTCCTCTGTAAACAAATAAACAAACAGATTAATATATAAAATCTTGAGTAAACGCCACCGAGTTAGATTGTGACTAGAAAACTAAAACTATAACCCCCCCCCCCACTGATTTGTTCCTGGAACTAATCAGTACTAAGCAAAATGAGTGAACATTAATTTCTTACTCAAGAAAACAACAGCTTGTCCATCAAGGGGTTTGACATTGTCTGACATGTTCAGCACTCAGCCACCCTCCCCCCCCCCACCTTCCCAACGCCTAAACTTCACTGACAATTATTTGTGCAATAAGTCTATGTGATATGTGAAAAACTGTGTTTGATCTGAATATTCTAACAAAGATTTTTTTTCTCCCTTTTAATTTTACATACAGTCCCATTATCTATCTTTCCTAAACATTTAATTATAAATTAAACCAGTAGGCAAATATCTAATACTTCAGTTATATAAAAACATCAAAGTCCGTAAAACTATCATTATCTCTACGAGAGGCAAAAACTGTTTTTTGAATGGCTAACAGGTGGTCTTATGCCAAACAATTAAATATTTATAGAAATAAATGGAGTATCTATGATTCCTAGGTCTCGCACTTCAAAAGCTAGCGGAATGTGCAATGTAACGAAAAATCAATGAATAATAATCAATTTCAAAAACAAGGAAAAAGAGACGCAAAAAGACTTTGATTTTTCATCAAATCAACTTTTATGTGCTGATAGGGAGAGAACAGAGTGTATGGAGAATAATTAGGTGTTAATCTATAGAAGAAAAATTATCATTTCCATGGAGATTCTAATTATCAAAACCTGATTAATCTGTCACACTATCTTAATTGCAACCTCTGCAGAACTACACCCCTTAAGGATATACAGATTTTGGTTGTAGTAACGAGGTGTTTCTTTTATAAAGGTTAACAGAATTGTGAAGTTTTATTTTAGGGAAGATATGTGATTGGTGTTGTAAAGAAGTTGTTCCAAAGATTATAGTAATTTAATTTGACATGGTGAAATTTTGTTTGCTTGGGCTTTACGTCACACCGACACAGTATAGGTCATATTGCGACATTCCAGCTTTACTGGTGGAGGAAGACCTCGAGTGCCCTTTCGTGCATTATTTCAGGCACAAACGGGCACCTGAGTAGAACCATCGACATTCTGTAAGTTAGCTGGTTAGCTTCCTCACATGGTGAAATTTATTCTGGAACCTAAAATTCTTTACAGACTGATAACTGTTAAATGTCCAATTCTTATTACAGATTGATTAGAAATGCAGAGGTCACTGATACAATCCTCAGGAATGGCGAAATTTCTCTTTGTTCTCTACTATACTAACAATTGCCCATCCAGGCAAGAATATTTCTAATATTGCCATATTATTTACCTTATAAATGTATATACAATAGCAGATGGTATATAACTTTACACAGAGTTATGTAGGTGTGTGCTTTCCTGCATACTGCATTTATTATTCACATCAGATTAGAATGTTGTTGTTTTTTTATCTTTTCAATTAAAGTGCTAACTTCTTTTTCTGACAGCTGGATTAGCAATTAACAGTCTCAATAAACATGTTGTTTCAACATCGTTACATGTTTACATTTATATGATGTATAGAATTTTTTTTCAATGTTTTTTTTCTCTCTTCCTCTCCATTTCATAAATTCATGATGATACATGAGAGCAATCAATGACTAGGGCATGATCTTGAATATTGAAACATTTTGACAGATCAACTCATGTTCACACAAACTTACACCTAACTCCATGTAGTACATTAGAAAGTCACAATTTTTCATGATACAATGATATTAGATGAAATGTTCTCACACTTCGTAATGCAATACTTGGTGGGGTGTCCGTGGCCGAGTGGTTCAGGTCGTTGACTTCAAACTACTTGCCCCTTACCTCTGTGGGTTGGAATCCCAAAAGACACTTTGGATTTTATCCAGCTAGTTTACAGAAGGTCTGTGGTTCTTGTTGTGAAATAATGCACAGAAAGGCACCTTGGGTCTTCCTTCACAAGAAAAGCTGGAACGTTGCCATGTGACCTATACTATGTTGGTGTGATGTTAAACCCAATGAAACAAAACAAACAAACAAACAATACTTGGCAAGACCATAAGTGGCTGATGCTTTCACACTTACAAAAACCCTTTTATTTACAATGGAAAGTTCCACAGTCAAATCAAGCCACATATTATAATATACATGGGGATTCCACTTCTAAAGAAATCTTGTGAATCCTGGTGAAAAACGTATAATGAGCAAAGTGTGCGGTGTATATTGTGTAAGCTATGAAATGTTTTGACAATATTTATTCAGCTTATGTCACTGATAAGCAGAAAAGTAAGAAAAACATAATTATTCTTGGATAGATTTGTTTAGACAGCAGCAGTTAGACAATGAGGAAAAGCTTTCAATCTCCATGTTGAGAATGTGCCAAGCATTCTGTTTACACTAAAACAGTTATCAAATGATGTGGAAATTCTTTTCTCCACAATGTCCCTGTTGCCTGTTGTATATTATCTTACAGTAAATAGATGCTGCTGATGATTTGGAAGATACAGGAAATTACCCATTAACAAGATTTTTCTACCCTCCTCACAGAAGTTGCTTTGAGCAAAAAAAAAGGTCAATCAAAATTGAAAATGAAACTTTCTTCTTCTCTCTGAACATAAATGTGATTAATGCTGGATGCCTCCAGATGAAACAAAACTTTTCAAAGAAATCAAACAAGAGCAAAAATTACTGAGACTTTAAGAAAAGTAAAAGGATTCAAAATAAATGTAATAATGTCCATGTAATGTGCGATTTATGACTGATTTTGCAATATTTTTCACTGTATTTCTAGTGAGTTAATTACACAGTAAGGGCTTTTTTTTTGCATAGTTTAACTTTTTTTGATAATTTACATGGGTTACAAGTGTTGTTTCCAATGTTATTTATAATTTTCTTTGGTTACTTCACATTTACTTTTTAAAACATTTTCAAAATTTCTTGAAAACTAGCAGGAATCTGCAGGCGTGCTGCTTTAAAGCTTACCTGAGTGCAGTCACAGGATAAGTGTCTGTGGCTTCAGAACAGAATAATTCCCTGGACCTTACAGAAGGGTTTGCCAAAGGGTGATCACTCTCTATCTCTGAAAATACACAAAATATTACTATATAAATCATATACAAGGGAGGTAATAAAAAGTCAAACTATAATCATATGCAAGGGAGATAATGTTTGACATTATCATAACATATGCAAGGGAGGTAATTAATAATTTACAAAAGTAAATATTTGTATTATTAATGGTAACTGTGCAAGTGCAAGGGAGGTAATTAACAAGTCCACTATGAAAGGGAAGTAATTTGACTGTATTTAAAGAACAACTGCCAAAAGAAAAAAAAAACATGTATTTTCTCTTCAGCACTAAAAACTACCCACAATTCAACAACTAAGTAAGCACAAATCTATATCAGCACATAAATCAATATTAACAAGGGCGGAGAAGAAGACCTATTGATCTAAAACAAATAAAATATCTATCAAGGCAGGCAACTTTGTGTAAAATGTAAACACAAGATGAAGGGAGATAATCACAAAGGTAAATATACAAATGGTAAGCTACCTCCCTAGATAAGGACAAAACAATCATAGTATAATCACTAGAACAATCAATTATCTATAGATATAGCTCTTTCTCTTCTTATATTTGTAGAGGTTTATCATTAATAGTCCCAGTGTGTAATATCACCAGATATAGACCAACAAGCTCATGCTTTATCACCACTCTATATTGTTTTTGTAGAGTGGTATATAATTAATAATCTCAAGTGTGTTATATCACCAGATATAAACCAACTAGCTTATGCTTTAATTTATACCACACTATCTTGTTTTTGTAGTGGTAAATCATTAATGATCTCAAGTGTGTTATATCACCAGATATAAACCAACAAGCTCATGCTATAAATTTGACACTATATTGCATTTGTACTGGTTCAAGTATATCTTCAATAATATCAAGTGTATTACAACACCAGATATTTAAACCAACTGGCTTATGCTATTATACCACACTATCTTGTATTTGTAGTGGTATATCATTGATAATCTCAAGTGTGTTATATCACCAGATATAAACCAATTGACTCAAGCTATTACACCACACTATCTTGTTTTTGTAGTGGTATATCATAAATAATCTCAAGTGTGTTATATCACCAGATAAAGACCAACAAGCTCATGCTATAACACCACACTATCTTGTTTCTTCAGTAACTCATCATTAATGATATCAGTGTGTTATATCACCAGATATAAACCCACTATCTCATGCTTTAATATCACACTATAACATATTGTGTTCTAGTAGCATATCATTAAAGATATCATTGTTATATCATCAGATATAAACCAACAAGCTCGTGCTCTAACAGTAACACCACACTATCTTGTTTTTGTAGTGGTATATCATTAAAGATATCAGTGTGTAATATGACCTGATATAAACCAACTATCTCATGCTATAACACTGTATTATCACACTGGTATCATAATACATCATCTAAGATAGGGTTAGAGATAACAATATCTCAAGGAGATAGTGTCTGTATTTACTTCATATCTCAACACATACATTGTGATAAAGCTAGATATTGAAATTCTTCAAAAAGCACTAAAAATTAACTTTTTATGTTAATCGTGATAAATTTATTTGTTTTCCTTGTAATAAGTGTTCAGTGGGATTTTTTTTAACCGTTATTTCCGTCCCAAGTTTGGGCATGTGGAAAGTCAGGTTAGGAACTACACAAGATTGGTAAATAATCTATAAAGTTTATAAGTGTTTGAAATCATTTTTTTGTCCAATAGGATTGCAGTATTTCAAATCTGTTAACCAGTTTAGTAAATTGGCTTTTTACAACACTAAGCTATTAGTACGTATTTACAAAATTAAACTTTAACCTATACTAAAATCATGAATTTATAAAATTCTGAATCTGCAGTGGGGATTGTGTTGCCTTTGTTCTACAGCCACTTATGAAATATCTGTCCTGTTCTGGTTTTAACTAGAAAAGTCCAAAGCCCACACAGCTGAATGAGCAGACATAGTCATGACTAAGTGGACAAAATAAATTTGCTTCAATTGTAATGTCAAAAATAAATTCTTAACATATAGAGTTTGATATTCTCGGACAAAGTTGAGCCTGATTTGTGACTTTTAATTAATAGTAAGGTACTTTAGAAACTACCTGGTACATGACAATGGCATTATTATGTTTATTATGAAATAATCACTGAATAATCTTGCCAAATGATCAAAGCAGTAAAGGTCAATAAAATTACTTCTTGTAGTTATAGATCTGTTACGTTGCTATGAAATCATTTACGCAGCTATACCCAAAGTCTTGAATATAATTATTATATCAGACACTTTCACAATTTGTAAGCCATCATTTAGCTAGCAGCTGCCCTCTGACCCCCCCCCCCTCTCTGCCTCTTAAACCTCCCACAAACATAATACATCACAATCAATTAATATAACTCATAAAGTATAATACTCTTAAACAAACCAACATAATAACATAAGTAAATAATAACTAAACAACTTGTAATGTTAATATATCCTTTATACAACCATTACATACAACAAACTAAAATAACACACACAAAAAATACTGAAGAAAAACTTAAGAAAAGAAAAAGTCTCAACCTTGACCTTGATTGCTACAGCTAGGCACAGGACTCGACATTACTGGTCCATAGTTCATACAACATTGTTTTATATCACCCGCCACACAATATTTGTCCTCTATTATAAACCTCGATCACAAATATCCATTCAAATATCCATAAATAAAATAAATATACTTATACAGTCATGTATATACAACTAGTTATTTCAATAGTTTAAGTATGTTAACTGGTTATTAAGCTATTTATAAACCAGTATGTATTCCAAACAATTTAACCCTGTAATAAAACGTTTATTTCGTTAACCGGAAATCCGACAATTTACTTGCACGCTGTTATCCGTGAAGTGGCTCATACTTTAAAATGCATATGCATAACACTTATCACTTTCGCCTGCACATCTAATAGAGGCAGCCATTACACCATTACTACACATATTTTCATTCAGCCAGTCTATTTTTATCCACCAGTCAAAACACCTTCAATGCACACAGTCTGAATGGGCCAGAGAGAGAAAAAAAACATGGCCGCCCTGACGTTTTATACAAGGCTGCAGTACAAATAGTCTGCTTTTATCCTCTTATCTGCATGGCGGTTTAGAATTAATCAAATCCGATATGCTGATCAAAGGCAGGGTTAACTGATACTTAAAATTAGATAGCTGTAAAGTAGCATTAAACAGATTGGCATACTGTCAAACATGTGTCAAAACAACTTGCTTTACAATGGTTAAAGGGAGGGAACAAATTCCAGCTATTCTAGCTTGAAATCTGCAGAGTTCTTCTGCATCAATCATACCAAGTTAACACCTAATCACACTAAAATCATGCAATAGACTTGGCCAGCTTTGAATTTGGACCTGTTCCATTGCCGATTTAAGGGATTTCAAGATGAAAATGCTAAAATTGTTAGCAACCAAGGAAATCTGGCTCAGAGATTAAAAAACCCTTTTTTCTAAAACCTGTGTCGAATCTCACTTGCTGTAAGTTATGTGCTGGTTTCAGAGACCTAAGTTTGAGCTTTACAACCTCAATCAGTCTACTGGTCGGTCTGTAAACTAGTGGCAAAGACAGCCCATACTTGTAGAAAATTGTTTGATCACAGTGACATGATTGACAGCAACACTTACAGTTGAAACTGAATAAACTTACAATACAATAACACTTGGCGGTTTTACAGTGAAACCTTTGTGGAAAGACGCCTTTGTTTTACAGTGAAACCTTTGTGGAAAGACGCCTTTGTTTTACAGTGAAACTTTTGTGGAGAGAAACCTTTGCTATACAGCTAAACCCTTAAGGTATGAAGCCTTGTTGAGAGAAGCCTTCCTTTTACATTGAGCAAAACCTTTCTTTTGCAGAAAAAAGTCTTTGTTTTACAGTAAAACTGTTTTGGAAGAATTTCCTTGGTTTATAGTTAAACCTTTGTGGTGTCAAACCTTTGCAGGAAGAAGTTCTTTGCTTTACAGTAAAACCTTTTTGGAGAGAAACCTTTGTTTTACTATCAAATCTCCATTCATAGAGAGAAGCCTTTGTTGAACAGTGAAACATTTGCGGAGAGAAACGTTTGTTTTACAGTGAAACCTTTGTGGAGAGAATCTTTACTGTACAGTTCAACCTATGGGGAAGAAAAATCTTTGTTTTTTACAGTCAGAAACCTTCTTTTAAACATTAACTTTTCTGGTGAAAATTAAAGCCTTTTCAAAGCCTTCGTTTCAATAGTTAAACATTGATAGAGAGAAACTTTTTTTTATATTTAAAAGTTTGGTGGAGAGTCTTCATTTTACAGCCCAAAACCTTGGTTTTACAGTCAGAAATCTTTATTTTACAGTTAAACCTTTTTGAAGACAAGTCAAACCTTGTTAAAGAGATACAGTTTTTTACAGTTAAACCATTGTGGAGATGTACCCTCCATTTAACAGGTAAACTAAGATTGAGGAACTTTTTTTTTCTCCACATGATTTAGAGGAGAAACTTGGTGGCAAGTCCACAGAAATTTACTTAGTAACCTTTACCACACCAAACACAAGGAGTGTGACATTTTGTTTAGTTAAATCTCATTATCAGGACATAGTAGCTAACTGGAGAAATAATTTAATTATGATCACAATAAGAAACCTTGGTCAAAAGAGTACAAAGACATTCAAAGACTTTTTTTAAGTCAAACCTTAATTTATAATGGTAGTGCGATAATACAGCTTAATGAAAATTTCAAGTCTATGTAAGGCCATGAAGATCATAAACAAGAAAAAATTTGAAGTAAAACTCAAAAAAATCATCAAAAGCCCAAAATTTGAAAGCAGAACTGTTTGAATACACTTAAAACTGAGTTGAAAAAGTTTTTTAACAGTCCAAAAAAACAAACGCTGAAATACAAGATAAGCCTAAAACCAATAGCCAATCTAGTTGTGGACCGTGTTTATTTAATCACATATTACTAAAGTATAATAAATAACACT